GACGGTGCGTAAGAGAGTGCGCGGTTGGAGTTGCACTGGTGCAGAAAGCAGCGCGTGCTCTCAATGTTCAGAGGGCCTGCAGAATTGATGATTTCTGATGCCACTTCATCAGTGCCGTTGGCATTTTTGTGGCACGAGTGTGAGCAGTGAAGAAGCTCGGCCGGCGATTGGTGCCATGAGGATAGATGCCCACAGGTTTGGTGACCACCTGGCTTGAGGAGAAGGCAATTTCGAGTCGGGGCTTGCAGACAGCTAAGCTCAGCTTGTCGTTGTCTTGCCAGGGCTTCGGGTTCATTGCCCCGGACGATTCCAATTTTGGCGACCTCTTTGTCCACGTCAGCGAGCCTGGGACTTGACGACATCCGCATCCGCAGTCCACACACACTGCCTAGGTGACAAATGTGTCAATTTCTGAGCCCAAGCAAAGGAGGATTTGTTACCTGCATGACGTTGCAAGATGATGGGGCCCAGCTTCTCCCAGCGGCCCAGTCTCTCCCATCCGCAGGCACTCTTCTGCTGCTTGACATGCTAGTCATGCTGTAACAAATTGTGCAGCTGCGATCAGGGCTGTTGAGCCCGGATGCCAGCACGTGTTATTTTGTGCCCGTTAGCTTCGAATCTGACGCGTCATCCGCGCGCTATGCAGTGCCATTGGCAAGTACCCGACGAGTAGTGACGAGGTTCTTTTGGTCCTGGATTGGCTTCGAATGTTGTGTTGCAAGAATTGAATTCAATGATTTGTTCATCCGTCGCTGCAGAAGGCCAAAAGTCTAGATGTCGGGCCAGTGGAGATTGCAAGATGCGCATGGCATCGGAAATGATCTTGCTTTCTTGCAGCCCGTGCTCTGGAGTGATTGTCAGCCCATCCCGGGGCAGAATAGTCGATGTCATCTGAGCCGCCCCTCCACTAGATCATCATATGTCAGTAGTGCGTTCTGTCAGGTGGACTGTTTGCTCGGCCCCGATCTTTAGACCCCTCTCTCAGGTTGCGCGACGCACGTGCTAATGGACTTGAACGAGGTGACAGAGTCGGGGCCTTCGGTTGCCTTCCGCTGCCATCGTTCGTGAGACCAAATGCGCTACAAGCACTAGCCACGCTCGTGATGCTGTAAGTGACAGCTTCTAGGGTCATAGGATGCAGAACAGCTTGCAAGGCAAGGACAGGAGCTAGTGTAGTCGTGATGAGGTTCGCTTTGATGTGAAGTACAACCGCGAGAAAGGCGGGGCGCAATATGACCAGACCAATTACCCAGCAGTACCTGCCTGTGCCCGCCCACGTTCTGCATGTACTGGCTCAGCATGATGGCAGCAGTCCGGGAATACAGACCCCCGCTGTCTTTCGACAGCCTTGAGGGACAACCCCGACACGCAGGATGTCACAGGATTCGCGAGTTCTCGCCACTAGTTCCACAAGCCATCCGAGGCTCCAAGACCACGCAACATGTCGGACTCCGGTTGATGTAGGATCCTCGAGACATCGAGACAGCTGCGAGTGATTCGTCAAGCATCCGAAGCTCACTTGTCTCGAGGGTCACATCCTGACATTTCCTGACACTCAGGGTCCGAAGCTAGGTCCAAAAGCAAAAACTGTCTCGAGGACCCAGGCAGCAGTACAGAAGTCTGCGCGTGCTGACGAGACGGCAGCATGCTTGGATGCTTGTGCGATGTTGCGCGGCAGGCAAGAACCTGGCCGTTAATGTTGTTGTGGAAAAAAGCGGTGCCTCGAGTGGTGGCGGGCCTTCGCCCCAGTGCAAGAAATCTCCCAAGTTCACAGTCATGGGTGGGTAAATCTACAGGCGAAAGCGCGACCGAGACAACAGCCGAAATCGAGGCCGCTTTGTCCATACAAGTTTGCTGGTTCGAGATGCCTGCCATGATGTGCAGGTGGAACGAGTCGTAACCGCAGATCCGGCCGCAATCTCACGACCAATGGAGAAAGCATGATGCAATTCCAGGTCAGTTACACTTGCGTCTTGCGTGATCATGCGACCCCATGGACCTATGACAAAAGCCCATGCTCCCGATGCGTTGGGTCATCTCCAAAGTTAAGGAAGAAGCCGTGACAGCCGCAGAAGCAGCAGGAGCAGAAGCAGAAGCTCCACAAGGACGGCTGATTGTTCCATGACATCCCATGATGTCACAATGATGTCACAATGATGTCACAGTGTACAGTGTGGAGAGTACTGAGTATTGTCCATACGAAGCACCTAAGCACTGTGAGTGTTGGGAGGTGTTGGGGCTTCGGGTGGTGAGGGTAAGTATTCAAGTCAAGTGTAGGTTGTTTTAGTACATGGTTGGTCCTTAGATTGGAGACCGCCTCGCCAGCTCCATTTCCCTAGGGCCAGAGCCTACCGCTCGATAGACGATGCCCAATGGAACAGAAGCATTGTGTAATGAAATGCGTGCACCCTCCTAACCTGGAACTTGTTTCTGATGAAAGTAGGCTTGATGCATCAACGGGCTGTAGCATTTTATACAGTCCAGAATGGTGTAGCTTGATGTCCCTTGCCAGGAGAAGGCGGGGCAACAGCAGTGAGAGTCCACGCCCGGCTCCTACAGGAGGGTGAACATGGGACCTTGCACTCCTGCTAAGCTACACGATGCTACGCGTAGGTTTTGCGGAAGGCACGTACTTTCACGCTCACGAATGTGTTACACTTATTTGAAGATCTGGGAGACCTTCTTGCCTGGTGGTAAGAGCAAGGGAGACCGATGGCTGCCGAGGTGGATCTGCAAAGGCGCGGAAGAGGCTGGACACTGATGTTGCACCGCCGGTTTCAAGTGGCATCACCATAACTTGCGCCGAAGGATATGACATTCGGTGTTTGTCTCGGGGGAGCGATTACAGTGTCTATAGCGTTTTTAGTGTGGAGAGAGATCCAGCAGAGAGCTTTGGGCATCTCTGGGCACAATTTTCCGGGCCATTAAGCCGAACGGGTTCATTTTGTTGAGTGACAGGAGTGGGCGGTCTGAAACCCGCAAGCGGAGGAGCTCGAGCACTTCCAGTAAGAGGTCCTGACGGCATCTTTTGGTAAGCTCCTATCAGTTCTTGCCAACGACTGAAAAAGATAAATGCTGCTTAAAGACAAAGCACTCCCGACACGAGCAAACAATCGTTTTTAGGATCCCGGCTGACTCTTGGGAGTAAGTATGCCATGCACTTCTTGCTGGCAAGAAGCGCGGCAGCGTGCTGGGATAGCCATCTGCCAAAGTGCGTAATAGTAGCGAATGCCCTGCTCTGGCAAAGAATGTCAGATGACCTTGCTAGCCGCCAGATCCAAGGGACTATGAGGCCAAGAAGGCAGAGTAAACAGAGATGCGCCAGTTCATGTTCTTCTCATTCCTTACATATCCCCTGGCTGGTGCCTCTGCACACAGGACAGGGCAAGCAGGATTACAGACACCAAACGAAATTGGCTTGTCGTCTTCGGGTTCAAGTTCAATTAACAAGAAAGTCCAAGAAAAAAACAACCCACAACCTTCGACCCGGAATGAATCAGAAACAATGAAACGATGCCAGAATTCACGTAGCCTTTCCATGTATTGCTAGCTAATGGATCTCGAGCAGCCGCGCATCTTAGAGTCTTGCAGAGCGCGAAACGTGAACGACCAAATGCTTCATGGCACCCTAGCCGCTAGCCCTCGCAGCTTCGAGGATATGCCAGCCCTTCATTCCTAACCTGGGACATGAAAACAGCAAAGGAAGCAACATGATTATATTGAATAGCCTTATTTGCGCGACCATGAGTTTCTTCACTTTTCATGACGATAAGTTAAAGATCGAAGCGACTCGAATGTCGAGCGTCAAAAGTTCAGACAGACAAACAGATATGGAATAGGTAAGTACTATCACTGATAGGTTGTAATTTGGTGAAAGACTACAAAAAATGCCACCATCTCATTGAAACCAGGGTTTGGAGCTCGAGACTGGACCTTGTTCCGTGAGGCTTGTCAAGTCTGGATGAAGAGATACATGAGATACCCACGACAGGGGGGGGGGGGGTGGGGGCAGGGTGCTCTTTCTAGGCAAGGCGCAAAGGAATCCCCACAAGATGTACACTGTATGACGGACAAGCAGGGGGGGGAGGGGGGGGGAACCCAGCTTCACACTTCGAACTTAGATACGTAGGAGGTTTGAGGCATTTCCCTTTTTTGGCAATCTCCTTCAGCAATAATGACGGAGGGGTGCCTTGTTTTTCCAATTTTTTCTACATAGTTGTCGCGGGATCTGAAGAGAGACTTTTTAGAGCACGTCCCATCGCCCGCAGCCGCGAGCATCAACGTGTATCCGGTGCTAAATCCACATTCTTGAGCCATGCATGGTCCCTGTGCTTTGTTGAGAAAAGACATTCTTCCTTTTGCGCCCCGAAAGGGAGCTAAAAATCTTATCACCACGTGCACCGCCTCGCAGCTCCGCTAAAAGGGGCCGGGCAAGCGCCTGTGCCCGGCCCGAACATCCTCAGGCAACATCAGGCAGCAACATGTCTCGGGGGGTTGCAGTGATGCTGCACATTACTCTTCCACACGGGTTTCCCGATTTCAGGGGGTCTCTAAGGAGGACCCTGCAGTGTCCCTCCTCCCTCCTGCAGGATGGCTCCTGGAAGCCAAGCACACATGCCGAACTGTCCTGGGAGAACTAGACATGCAACCACCTGGGTCTTCAAAAATGCTAAAGAACAGATGACCTTTGGGGAGATCCCAACGCAAAACCTGTCCGCAAACCATGCGCACCGACTGCGGC